GTCTGATAAGGGAACCTTTCCTCCATTCACTGTGCAGAATCCTCTTTTTTTTTTTTTTTACAAGGAAACGCACTCAAATAATTCTATAACTTCTCTGCAATCAGGAGGACGCTCACTCCTTCATTTATTACTACGTTTCTGGTTTGATCAACGTGCCTGTTTTGTTAAACTTAAAGGGGGAAGTGGCCGCCCCCCAAATGTTAACTACGCACTTTCTTAACCTGAAAAAGAGAAAGGAAAAGAGACTTCAAAGCCACTCACACCGCCTGCAGCCAGCGGCACTTAGATCACTTCAGACGGTTTCTTACGTCACTGTTTTCAACTTTAACTCGTGGATCACAGCTGATCCGGATATGGAGCGGCGGAGCTCCCCTCAGACGCTACTAGTCGTTCTCTGATTCGGCAACGCGTAATCTACCCTGTCTATTGATACTGAATTTCAAACTCATTAAATGCACGCTCGCAGAAGGAAGAAAATGCCCTCTCTGCCTTCTGTACATTACCAAGCACCTAAATATAAGGAAACACCGGAACAAAAAACTAGGTAAGTCTGACCGTCTTATTTCTGCAGCCACTGTAAAACCATAAGGTGTTTCTTCCGTTTCACCACAACATATACATTTCATGTAAAGAACATCCCCTGTACGTGAATATTCAATTTGGCACGATCCCGAAATGAGCATGCCTTTCTCTAGAGGGAAGTGGCCTTTTTACTGAGGATCGGTCTACAAGTTGCATGAAGTATAAAAGCTCTGTGCTTGGTTTTAGAGCAAGAGTTGCAGCTGGTGTGGTGTGTTTATTTTGTAGCGCTGATAATTGTGGCTGTTTTGAGAATTTATGAAGCAAATGCTGTTCTGACCCAGTGCTGGTTATATCAAGCAGGGTACGAAAAGAGGAAGTGACTGCTCGGGCTGCCACAGCGCTTCTGACGGAAGGAGGAAGTGACTGTTCTGTGGCTGCAGGACATCTGATAAAGAAATAGGGAAGTCGCCTCAAGGAGCTTGCAAGGAGGAGTCATATAGCAGCCATTTTGGGGAAATCTCAGAGGAACCAAAATGAAGAGCTCAACTATGACATCTAGTGAACCAAGGCTATATAAGCCACTAAATGATCAGCTGGAGGAGCTGAGCAAAGCCATCCACATGTCTTGTTCAAGAACAACTAAAGCAGCAGATAAAGAATTTCTGTATCTCCACATTCCTGGTGACCCCATCGCTTAAGACCCTTAATGAACCGAACATCAACTCAAAATAAGCACAGATATGCAATGTGTATATAATATTTCTAACCGTACTTGTAATAAAAGTTAACATAATGGAAGGATCCTCAATGGACATCTTCAATAAACAGCTGTAATGCAGTATCAATACTGTGAGAAATATTATTAGATGAAATAATGCTGTAAAGAATGTTATTAATGCAATTATAATGATGCAGATTATATGGCAGCAATAAAAGAATTTCTGTATCTCCACCAAGCCTTAGAAATTTGTACAGTGATTTCTGTGTAACCTGTGTAACATACGCATGCTTTAATCCACACACAAATACCAAGCAATCTGACCACACATAAAAGCATTTTACAATGTGTACATCCAAACCTGAATAAACACTGATCATTTACGCACAATTTATCAAGTTCAGCTTCACGAATATGACCATTTTGACTTTAAAAAACTTTTCTGTATGTACAAATGTCTAAAACTACACATAACATGTCTCTCACTCACCCACAAAAGCTTAAATATGCCTGATACTCACAGATCACGTGGCATGCTCACGAGAGGTCTTAAGGCACATTTCAGGCTGCCAGCAAGTCTCAGCATGAAAAAAATGTGTACAAGTCACTGCCTGTGAATCATGTTGTATGTCCAATAATAGAACACCACTTAGGTTCAGACAGGCTGTTAAAAACACACTTTTAAATTCATACTATATTAAAGGGCCAAAATATTTAAAAACCACAATTCAAAAATCTTATTAACACAAAACAATTGTTTTGTGAACCACATGTTTTAGGGCACAGGGCTAAAAAGGAGTATAAAAATCATACTCAGGTTTTACTCATTTGCTTTGTATTGCTTATGTTATTGAAAGTACTCAAATTGTTTGTGAGATCAAGGGGGAAAACAGAGATATTGTTCTCTATAGATGTGTTTGCAATAATGTATTTTTTTCTCTTTTTATCATCATTTGTAAAAAAGGAAAACAATGATGAAGATTTAGTACATGACCTCCATCGGCACCATGTTCTACCTGCTGGGGTGACTGTCAGGAGATTGTCACAGCAGGTAAAAGTCAGCTTTATGCTTTTTATTGCTACAGCACAAAGACACAATATGATTTGAGGTCTGTAAATGAAACCAAATAATAATATTATTAATATTACTATTATTATCCTCACCTTTTCTTGTTGTCATGTGAAGACAATAATGTTGAATGCCAGCAGTGAGTTAGTGTCTCTGCATTTGGACACTCATGCGGGTGAATGTGAGAAACTGAGCAAGAGGCAACAGACATGAAGAGCTCGGAGCCCAACAAACTCAAACCAGAGGAAGAAAGAGCCAGCCAGGCCCCTGAAGACATGATGGATGAAAGCAAAGGTCACACACACACACACACACACACACACACACACACACACACACACACACACACACACACACACACAGTAAATGTTAACACCAATTACAAAACCATATGGCATACTGGTTAAGTTGTAAATAACAACACAAATGCAATAACTTTTAAATCTCACATCCTCAGTGACAGATCTGGAGAGCTTATTGGAAGAACTGGGCTTGAAGCAGAACTACAGAGAGAAGCTATCACTCAGCAGAATACTAGAGATTGATATGAAGACCATCACTGATGAACCTGCCAGCTGTAAATCTGACCTTCCATGGTATTTTCTAAAGAAAATAATGATGTTTAATGTCACTGCTAGGAATGTGAAATGCACATTAGAGTGTGAGTCAAACAGTGATGATGAAACAGGGAGTGCACACTTAGATCTTGATGATATGATCAACCATTCAAACACAGATAACATGGTGAACCCCCTCGACGTAATCACTGCTCTCTTTCTGTGTTCTGATGGTTTTCTACAGCAGGAAATGGCACTAAAAATGTCCATGTGTCAGTTCTCTGTCCCTCTGCTGCTTCCTAATTGTGACACAGAACAGTGCACACTCATGCTGTGGGCCATGAGAGACATTGTTAAAAAATACAGACCTCAGTCTCTTTCACAGTCAAAGGGCTTCATTGAAGAAAGAATTGTTCTCTCTGAACTTCCAATGGTCTCTTTTGTCAGACTGGGTGAGTGCTCCTTGTCCAAGTCCAAGTTTCTCAATGAGTTTCTGAGCAATGATCAGCAGTACCACAATACCTTTGTTCACCACAACATGGAGTGTGGTGACAGTTCAAGAAGAATTTCCAACGGACTGACTGAAATTACTTGGTATCTTCCTGGTGGAAACACAAACATTGATATTTTCAGTCAGCCAGTGGCTGTAGCTAACCTTCGTGGGGACATTGCTTCATTTGAAACACAATACTCCTTTTTGTGTCAGACATCTGCAGCAGTTTTTGTTTTCTTTGATCATTTGGATTCTGAGTCTGAGTCTGTGATCAGTCTACTTAAAAGCCAAAACCACAAAGCACAGATCTTCTTGGTTGGTAACTATGAGAGCAAGCGCTTCAATTTAGAAGCTGTGAAAAAAGTAGCAAACAGTTTGGGCTTCACTAAAGGCAATGTCATGATTAAAACAAAGCAGAAAAATGATGCAGACTTTGTAAAAGATTTGAGGAAAACAGTTAGAAATATGGTTGAGAAATCAGAGCTGAAGATGAAAATAGAGGAGATGGTGGATGTTGCCCATGAACTGGGAATCCTGGTTGACGAAGACTCTCCAGAGTGCCAGACTGCAAAGGAAAATGCAAAAACCATCACTGCAGAAATTCAAGACATCCATAAATACAAAGAATATCAGTTTCGCCGACAAGGCCAAATATGGAAAACACTGACCTCGTTACAGAAGGAAGAGTTGCGACTTCGAAATCTTGGGTCTAAAAATATAGAAGATTACAAAAGTGATCTTCAGAAACATAAAGAGGAACTGCGGCAAAAGCAAAACTCTTATGAGATATCAACAGCTATGACAAACTTCATCACTGGGATATCAAGCCCAGGAACAGAGAGGTTTTATTTCCTGAAATGGATGCGAATGAACCTCGATAATGTGTCTCGTATAAAACTGTCTGAACTCAGGGAGAAATATAAAGAAAAATGCAAGAACTCTGAGAACAAAGAGGAGATCAAAGAAATTGACAAAGAAATTTCCAGCAGCTCACTGGGGACTGAACACTTCTTCCGTGAAATGGGTCAGATCTATGAAGCTTCACTGTCTCTCCCCAAAACAGACCCATCACATCAGCAATTGCAGCATCTGCCCAAACTGTGTGCAGAGTTGTTGCTTGATGGATTTCCTCTTGAGCTCGTAGATGGAGATGCATCCAACATCCCTCTCAGATGGGTGAGTGATGTTCTCTCTCAGCTCAGTGACCTGGTGTCTACAAACAGAAAGATACGAGTAGTCACAGTTCTTGGAGTTCAGAGCACAGGAAAGTCCACTCTCCTTAACACCATGTTTGGAGTGCAGTTTGCAGTCAGCAGTGGTCGATGTACTCGAGGTGCCTTCATGTTGCTCATCAAAATCAATGAAGACATGAAAAACGTCCTAAACTGTGACTTCATGGTGATCATTGACACTGAGGGCTTAAAGTCACTAGATCTTGCACAACTGGACAACAGCTATGAGCATGACAATGAACTTGCTACACTTGTTGTGGGGCTGAGTGATACCACCATTGTCAACATTGCAATGGAGAATTTAACAGAAATGAAAGATATCCTGCAAATAGTTGTGCACGCTTTTCTCAGGATGAAGGAGGTGGGCAAAAAGCCTAAATGTCAGTTTGTTCACCAGAATGTGTCGGATGTTTCAGCCCATGAAAACAACTTACGAGACAGGAAACTGCTCCTGGATCAGTTAAATGAGATGACTCAGGCAGCAGCCAAAATGGAAAAGAAAGAGGAGAACAAGAGCTTCACTGATGTGATGGAGTACAGTCCAGACACTGGGAACTGGTACATTCCTGGACTGTGGAATGGAAACCCACCAATGGCACCAGTTAATGCAGGATACAGTGAGGCTGTATATGAGCTCAAGAAAAACATCATCCAACTACTGAGAAACTGTAAATCATCTGCTAATAATATCATGGAGTTTAAAGAGTGGGTGAAAAGTCTGTGGAATGCAGTAAAGCATGAAAACTTCATCTTCAGCTTCAGAAACAGCCTCGTAGCTGATGCATACATGAAGCTCTGCACAGAGTTCAAAAAATGGGAGTGGGAGTTCAGAAAAGAAATGTACACCTGGGTAACAAATGCAGAAACAAAAATTTCAAATGTTGGTACCATTGGAGCAAAATCTGAAACATCTGACATGAGAGAATTTCTCGAATCTTTGAAAAGGGAAGCCTCCACAGTGCTGTCTACATGGGAGACAAAGATTCTAGACAATCTGACACAGTATTTTGAGCAAACAGAGGGTCACGTGTCTCTAGTTGAAGGATACAAAGAGGAATTCTTAAACAGTGTAGTAGTCCTTAATCGTGAAATAAAAAATGGTGTAAAGTATCAGCTTGAAGCAGCAGCAGAAATCAGACAAGGAATGAAAGAAATTGATAAAATCAAAGACAGTAATAGAAAAGAAGTTGAAAAAGCAGTGCGTGCATTAATTGATAAATGTCGAAAGAAAGAAGTCCAAATGACAGACGAAGAGTTGGACAAAGAATTTGAGAGGATGTGGAGTGAAACTTTAGAAAAACTGTCTTTCTCTGAACAAAAACCAAAAAATGTCACAGACAGTGTGTCCTGCTGTCTGAGAGAAAATCTAACACACAGGGGGAGCCATGCAAATGAGTTATTAAGTGAAATGAGTCTGCAAGATTGTGGAAAAGAGTCTTTTAAATATACAGCTGAAGGACGGTTCAAGAAACTTAAACACGGAGCAAAGAAGGTTTTTACTGGTCAGGATCACATAATGGCTGCACAACATCTGGCTGACAGGATCATAGATATTTGCACAGACTTTGTGACTGAACAAGTGAAAAGAAAAAATAATTACCATGACAATTCCATCCATGAGATCCTCCACATGATTGATGAGAAGCTGCAAAATAATCAAGATGTTAAGATAAACACTGAGTTTGAAGTTTCTCTAAAACAGCACATCTGTGGATTTGCAGCCAGAGTGTTTCAGGAAATGCACGAAGATTTCTTAGAAGAAAATGATCCGTACAGATGTCTGATTAAAAACAAGGAAAAGTTTCATGATGATTTCAAAGATGTGTTCAATGAACGAGACCAGTGTCAGAAGAAGGCAGAAGAATTCACAAATCGATGTTTGAAACCTGCTGTTGAAGACTTTGTTAATCGCTCCCTGGGTCCTGATATCATTGATGAAATGAGGAAACTCAAGCATTTCAGCAACCAAATGTCCTTCCAGTATTCAATTTTACTGGATTTGCTTTCCAAGGAGGATTTTCAAAACTATCTGAGCTATATTTGCTCATATGAGAAGTATGTAAAGATATGGATACTCAAACAAATAAATAAGCACTTCTTAACTGAATCATCAGTTTTTAAGTTTGAGGACCTACATCTGCAGTCATGTATTGACAGCATAAATTCTGCCATCATCAAGGCCAAAACCAGAGAGAGTGATGATTTGAAGGCTTTTGTTGAAGATATCTGCAAAGAACTTGGAGATAAACTGGTCATTTCCCAGGATGCTCTTAGTGCTTTCATGATACTGAACAACGCTGACAAGGAACAGTTTGCTGACTGTCTCACGGCATCTGTGAATTACATGACAGAAAGTCTTAGAAAAAAGTTTAAAGAATCTCCCTTTTTAATGAAACTACAACATCTGCATGTGAATCCACTAAATGAGCTTTTCAAACAGTTGATTGGTTGTGGCAAACAGTGTCCATTCTGCAAAGCTCCTTGTGATGCAGGAGGAAAAGCCCATACTGAGCACTTTGTTTCACTGCATAGGCCGCAGGGTCTGGGCAGATACAAGTATGAGAGGACAGAGAAACTTGTTATTGAAATATGCTCATCCGATGTGATCAGTGACAAAAAATTTCGTTGCTGTGATACAAACAATAAATGGCACCCTTATAAGAAATACAAGAAAATATATAAAGAATGGAATATTCAGCCAGATAAGAGTCTCGAAGCATCAGACTACTGGAAATATGTAATGACAAAATACAACAACGACTTTGCCGAAGAATATAAAGCAAAACCTTGTTTCATCCCAGAATCTTGGCGTAACATCAACAAAGATAAGGCAGAAAAAAGTCTTAAAGAATCATATAACATCAAGTAACTACTCATAATCCTCCTCATGTCATTATTGTGTACAGAAGAACACATGTTGTGTTTGCGATACTGAAGAAAATGTCTCAATATTTTAAGAGACAAAAGTAAAAAACTAAAATTAAATTTAATGAACCATAATCTGATTTCAAATTTAACAAATGTTTTTTTGTTGTTGTTGTTGTTTTCATCTTGATAATCCATATAAGACGTTGTAACAAACCCTAAGAAAATGCATACCATCACTATCTAGAGATTTCTTTTTTATTATTAAATTATTATCTGTTCATTTTACTGCTTGTTTGATATATTTACATTTTTGTTATGGTTGTTTCAGTTTTCTCCTTTTTTAAATAAGAAAGTTATATATAATTTGTTTCTTTGAGGAACCTGGTGCCAAAATCTTTACACTTTCAATGTTTTAAAAGATCCTCTGAATATAAACATTTGCATTAGAATATGTGATTTTCTTACTTAAAATTTAGAATTTTGTTTTCTTTCATATTTGATCTATCAGACAGTTTCTAAAAGACTCAGAGAATCATGCATTTGATATCATTTTATATCTGGTGTGATCCATAGTCAATCATTTAATCGGTTAAACAAGCCTCAGTTATAACAAATAGCAAACTGTCGATCAACCTGTGTGTTATCTACAAAAGAATAGTCTGTTTAACAATCCACCACACAACCAATGTTCTCCCTGTGGTTATCACAAAGCACTTCGCACATGGTTGAATCAAAACAGTCCTTCACACCCTCTTCAGTCTCCTCAGAACATCTTTTCACAGTATGGGTGACTGCTTGTTCCCTGTGTACTAAAGCTTAATATACAGAGAGGTGGTACAACAGGTTGTGATTTGATTTTCCCAAAGGAGGAAGTGAATACATGCCTATATGCCTCTTTTGTGTTAGCATTCAGTATGTCCAGTGTTTTATTGTCTCTTGTGGGTTGTGTAAGTCTCCACTGAGACTTGTGTTCTGTAAATTGTAATGACAACAGATCAATAAATGTGGAAAAACAATGAAATCGTGTATTTTTCTTGACCTCTCATTCTTTTCATTATCTTTTTTTAAAATAAATTAATTCCTCATTAAATAAGGAAAACTATTTTAAAACATACTTCCTGTTTTCTAGCAAATGTGTAAGGGAGTGGGGTAAAGTGTGTCTTCATGGCTTATGGTTTGAGCTTTTGAAAATGGATATAGTCAATGTGAATGTCCCTGCAACAGACTTACATGTCTTTAGTCTTAAAGGAAGCAAATGATTTTGAAGTTATAATATTCTCTGTTATTGTATTGTTTTACCAGAGTGGATCACTTGAGATCAAATTGGGCTGCATGTGGCCCATGACCCCGGTCAAAATGAATCTCAAAGGTGTGTCATTTCAGTGATGTGCCAAGTTTGGGGCAAAACTGCTGCTTATCCTGATTTCTGATTTAGGCCTTTTCACATCAGGTGTGTGAAACATGTGAATATTCTCTGTGTTAAAAATATTTTTAATATAGCTTATGAAAAATGGATAAAACCATGAAATCGTCTCTGCTGCTGCCTTCTTGTGAGAATTTAATGAACCAGGCTCTCAGTTTTTTCTTTTTCTTTTCCTCTTCCTTTTCTTTTCTTCTTTCTTTTTCTTGTTTAGAAACATCAGGACCAGCTCCTTGTGGCTTGATGTTGACTTTTTTCACAGTGTGTTTTTGAGGCAAGGCAAGGCAAGGCAAGTTTATTTGTATAGCACAATTCAACAACAAGGTGATTCAAAGTGCTTTACAGAGACATTAGAAACAAGAACAAATAAAAAGCATGATTTAAAATTGATTAAAACAAGCAAATAAACTAACTAACTAATTAACAAACAAACAAACAAACAAACAACAGTATATAAAATCAAAACAGATAAAATCAGAACAGTAGATAAAATCAGTAGTTAAATGTAAGTATGTAAGAGGAAATGTAAGAGGAAAATTTTCCTGCAAAAAAGTCAAGTGTTCAGTGTTCATTTATAGGCTACACAGTAAGTTCAGATGCAGATTTTTGCAACGCACTCAGTGTGTAATGGCCTTTAGGTTTTCAAAAGTTGATTCTACAATAATACCAGAACAATGACCGACTTAAAACCTACTTAAAAATGAAAACGTGTAAATACTAACAAACACCATCTTTGGCCAGGGCTGGACTGGGACAAAAAAATCAGCCCGGGCATTTTGACTAGAGACCGGCCCACCAGGTATTATAGGAAAAATCATAAAGCCTTTGAATGAAAACAAACGCTGTTGTCACAGTGATGTACACTGTGTTGTTGGTATATATGTGTCAATCTAATAAACTTAAACCTACACCATCCTCCCTATTCTGATATTCTAAACAGTACCCGAAAGTAGACTGCTTGGTCGACTTAACCTCCTGAACTATCTACAACACATGGTGAAAACCTGAAATTAAGACAGAGAAGACTAGAGGTGAGACATGATCATTACTGACTACTGATGACAGATTTAGATATATTTTCAAAAACCATTCATTTGCCACATCAATAAACAGCATGGCAGGTCAAAATATTTTTTCTAACATGGCAACCTTGAAAGGAGAGAAAGAATAAAACTTAATGGACTTTTTGATGGCATTTTATACACAGTACTGGTACAGTATCTAGAAAATGTGGGAAAATACTGGCATCATGTACAGTACTTTCTTCTGAAGAAATTATGTTGGGACCCTAAAAAAATTACTATGTACAATAATGGATTTCTATACATTTTACATCAGATGAAAACATTTGTTGTAAGATTCAGATAATTATTTGTTAAAAGCGAAACATTTTAACTGAGAATAAGAAAGAAAAGTATTTCTTTGTGCCCCCCTCTCCCTGTTAATGCCCTA